CATTTAAGCAAAATAAGCGCCAATCTTGGCAAAATTATGTTTCGAAAATAAATTCACGGACGCCGGTGTCCAAGGTATGGAACATGATCCAGAGAATTAAAGGTAAGGGTACCAAATCAAGCATTAATCATCTCAAAACTGGGGACCAATTGTTAACAGATACATCTGATATCGCAAATAAACTGGGTGAAACACTTGCAAAGCATTCTTCCTCGTCAAACTATGTTCCTAAATTTCAAAAATACAAACAATTGCAAGAAAAGAAACAAATCAATTTTCATTCAGATAATGGGGAAGACTATAATGAAATCTTTTCTATCCACGAGCTTCATACGGCTCTTGACCAAGCCCACAATACTGCACAGGAGCTGATAACATTCATTATCAACTCCTGAAACACTTACCTGAATCCTGTTTAGAAACACTATTAAATATTTTTGATGACATTTGGACATCTCGTCAATTTCCTTCATCTTGGCGTGATGCCATTGTTGTACCCATACCTAAACCTGGACGTGATCATACAGATCCCTCAAATTATAGGCCCATTTCCTTGACTAGTTGCGTTTGCAAAACCATGGAGCGCATGGTCAATAACAGATTAACTTGGTACTTAGAGTCCAATAATTAATCACAAATATCCAATGTGGTTTTCGTAAAAATCGCAGTACCATTGACCATTTAGTGCGATTGGTGTCATTTGTTAAGAATGCCATTCTTAACAAGCAGCATGCAGTGTCAATATTTTTCGATTTAGAGAAAGCCTATGACACGACATGGAAGCATGGCATTTTACAAGATTTACATGATTTTGGTTTTACGAGGCCGTTTGCCTCAGTTTATATCCGAATTTTTTAACTGATAGGCAATTTCAAGTCCGCGTGGGTTCTACCCTGTCTGACCATTATAACCAGGATCAGGGTGTCCCACAAGGTAGTATTTTGTCTGTCACATTGTTTAGTGTTAAGATCAACAGTTTATCCAAGGTCTTAAGTGATTCAATCGATGGGTCACTTTTGTGGATGATTTTAATATTTCTTGTCGCGGTAAAAGTATGCATACTATTGAACGGCAACTGCAGTTGTGTTTAAACAAAATAGATAAATGGTGTCTTGCAAACGGCTTCAAATTTTCTAAATCCAAAACCAATTGTATCCATTTTTGTAGAAAATATAAACCGCATAAAGACCCTGAACTATCTCTAAATGACTCTCCCATCAAAGTCGTTAAGGAAGCCAAGTTCTTGGGTTTAATTTTGACTCGCATCTAACTTTTCTTCCCCATATCAAGTCCCTAAAAACTAAATTCTTGAAGGCACTTGACTTGTTGAAAGTCGTTTCCAATTCTAAGTGGGGAGGGATCAAAGCTACCCTCCTACAATTATATCGATCATTGGTACGTTCCAAAATTGATTATGGCTCCATCGTGTATGGTGGAGCCTGCAACAGTAATCTAAAACTTTTAGATTCTGTCCACCACCAAGGTCTAAGACTATGTCTTGGTTCCTTTAGAACTTCACCTGTTGACAGCCTCTACGTCGAGGCTGATGAGCCATCTCTTACACAACGCCGTATAAAATTAACTTTACAGTATATTACAAAACTTTATTCAAATGAGTCAAACCCTGCATATAACTGTATCTTTAATCCACTATATGAAGATCTGTATAACAAGAAGCCTTCTCTTGTTCCGCCTCTTGGTATAAGAGTGAAACCTTTCCTTTCTGCTGCTGGCATTGAGCTAGAACATATAAGCTCCTTCCCGTCTTCTTTCTTCTCCTCCTTGGCAATTGGTTTAGGCCACAAGTCGACCTAACACTCACTCAATTTAAAAATCCGAAACTAATGACTTGCAATATAAACAAGAATATAATCAATTAAAAAGTAAATATAATACATATAAATCCTTATTTACAGATGGGTCCAAGGATGGTGGCGCGGTGGCATGTGCCACTGTCATTGGATCCAGAACAATCTCTTCTCGTTTACCAGATAACAGCTCTATTTTTACAGCAGAAGCAAACGCCATATTAACAGCCTTAAAATATATTAAAAAACACCCTAAATATCAACAATATATCATCTTTTCTGACTCACTTTCTTGCCTTCAGGCTATTAAAATATTTCTTGTAAACATCCACTTTTATTAGAAATTATTGAATTGTATAATGAGCTTGCAACTGGCCAATGCGACATCGTCTTTTGTTGGTTACCCAGCCATGTTGGCATTTCTGGGAATACAATGGCCGATCTTGCTGCTAAGGCAGCACTCAACAAATCTGTGACACCACTTCTTATTCCTTACTCTGATTACAAAGCCAGCATTAGAGCATACGTCCGCGATCTAATGCAGAAGAAGTGGGACACCCAAGTAGGTATTAATAAATTACATGCAATAAAACCCTACATTGGTTACACCTACTTGGGTTGTCAGTCCAGATTTGAAGAGGTCATTATGCGGCGATGTCGCATTGGCCATACTAGATATACCCATGAATATTTGCTTAAAGGCGAAGATCCTCCGTTTTGCATCCCCTTGTGATGAAAGAATCACAGTCAAGCATGTCTTGCTTGACTGCATTGAATATTCCATCACAAGGGATGTCTATTTCAAATCCAAAACTCTGAAGGATCTTTTTAATAATGTCAGTTCTCATTTAATTATTGCATTTTTAAAAAAATTAGATTTGTTGACTGATTTGTAAATATATATATATTTTAGTATTGGTAGTTTAAATTAGTAACTGATATTGTTAGTGGCTGTACCCTCAAAGGGGGTTGAAGTAGCGTAAAATTATTGTCCTCCTGAGAGGGTACGTAAGTCCCAAAACATTTAGTCAATTTAAGTGTACCAGGTTATTAATCGTAGAATATGTGTACTTTTAATTTATGGCTAGGTTTCTCTTCTGTCGCCAATGGCTGAAGGGATGGTGTAAATCCAGCTAGGGTCCATGCAGGAAGCAAATGTACTGTAAGTCCCCATGGTCCCTAGTATGGTGATCTACCTTCAGTTGTTGGCGATCAATAGCCTGTTTTTTTATATTGTATCGTCTTGTATAGTTCAACTGTTTTAGATTATTGTTACTAGTTTTATATCTATATCTGTGATAATCTAGTTATTTTACTGTCCTTCGTCGGCAGAATTTTATAATTTCACTTAAATTGTCGATATATTTATAACTTGCTTTAGTCACGATATGGCTGAAATATTGCCGATGTGACTTAAAATCTTAACTCACTCACTGACTCACTCTCCACGGAAAAACAGCGACTTGCATCCACCACAAAAATCTAAATAAATGCAATGAAACTCACTGCCTATATACCGACAGTACTAGTGACACTAGTACTGTCGACAGTGGAAAACTTGTCGAATGTAAACACCACCTGAATTAACCCGAGGCCAATGTGAGAAAAGATAATTAGGGCTGTATATAACAATAGCATTTGGAATTCCAAATCAAAACAACGACTTCTTGGAATAGCAACTTGATCACGCGAACTGTAACGGTAAGAATATACAAATGTCACTGTTACTTGATCGAACTTTTTCTGCGTGCCTGTGGACGCGCTAATAAATTTTGTTGCGTCCGTTGTCAATTTTTATGCGTATAGGACGCAGGAAGTCGCGCCCCATACATTCCTGTGAGAACAATCTGTTAAACTATAAGTTCGGCCTAACTACAGTCTCCGTGGTAGGGAGATAAGAAACGTAAAAATTAATTTACTGAGGAGAGATTAGTGCAGAAATGAGCAATGTTGTTTCTTCTAAATCTTATTTGGAACAGATCATGGTTTTATGCAAATTAAGAGTGCGATGATATTGTATTACAAAGGACACTTTTTAGATACTCATTTTGAAATTAGAATTACCTTCATTATACCCGATAGCTGACGTAAAAAAATAATAACTTTAATACTGAAATTAATTATTAAGGATGTAGCCACCATGAGGTCTCACTATCACTATAAAAACAAACCGGTAGGAGGGGTCGTCTCAAAAGCAAAACCAGGACGGGTTGTTACGACGTAAATTGTAATAAAAACGCAAATTGTAATACTTGCAGCAAATTGTAATAAACTTGACGTAAATTGTAATAAAAACGTAAATTGTAATAAAACTTGACGTTAATTGAAATAAAGCAAATTGTAATAAAAATTGACGTAAATTGTAATAATTTTCGTTGCGGTAAAATGTAATAAATTTTTACGTAAATTATAATAACAGTTTTAATCACTCGGAAATACGCGGGTGTTTGTTTTTCGTTGCATTTCATACATCAAATAAGCTTGTTAGGGCGAGAACACAAGAAAGAATTGATGGATTTTGTTCAAACTTGGTACCAAGGTATATTGGCGAGATTCACCGACACAAGTGAAATGGAGTGACCTTGAGATAATTTTCAAGGTCACAGCAAAAATCTGAGGGTTTTGCCAATATAAAGATTGTTAGCGCGATAACCCAAGAAAGAATTGACAAATATTAGCTAAATGACGAAAATGATATTCGTCCTGATATATAATCGATATAAACTGTCCTCTGTATCATGTCTTTTCGCAAATATCTTTTGAGGTTTTGATATGTATACATATAAAGTGGGGGTGGGGTAGGGGTGGGTTTCTAACGGGTATATCTAACACACTTGCATGCATGTAGAGTCGGAGAGGTTGGTGGGTGTTCTAACGGGTATAACTACGAGGGACGTTCAAATAGTAGTCAGCCTCACCTAGAATATGATACAAATGCAGCTGTTTTTATGTTTTATTTTTCTACATATTATCTGTCAGCCTCAAGCAAATTGGTTTTGCTATGTTGCAGCCTCACGACCCCCATTTTTTGAGACTTTGTATCTTGGCTTGGTACTCCCCAAAAAAGTAAAATCTGCAATAAAATGCATCACAAACTTCAGGAAACAAATTACAGTATAAACCTGATAAGTAAAATTTCAAGGGACTCGCCAAAATTGTTTACTTATCAGGTATTTTAGTTATCCAAACTTATCAAAACCCGGAAATGACAGCAGAACAACAGACAACATTTGTAAGTAATATGACATGTTTTATTCCCTAACATTTCATTGCGTTAAGTTATACATTTATAATACAAAGTAATAAAAATCAAATTCATTGCGTTAAGTAATACATTTATAATACAAAGTAATAAAAATCAAACATAATGAAACAAAATATTTTAGTCTAACAGTCTAACATTTTACTCCACAAAAGATGTCATGAGGGATTGTCTCTGTGGTAGCATTCCTTAATTTTGTCCGAATTTCTGATCCAGTTGTACAAAGTAGCAGTGGGTATGTTGAATGTCTTTGCAACATCTGACTTTGACACACCATTTTCAATTTCTATAAGTACAGCGAATTTGTCCTCAATAGACTTTGCCACAAGTTTGCGTTTACCTTTGACAGAACGATTTGATCTCGGTATCCCCCCCCAGTCACGCTAGGTCCTTCGCGAGATTGCTCAGACATTTTGCCAGACTAGACTGACGATACATGATGATGATGATTTGGAGTTTAACGTCGGCTTTTAGCTGTAGCCAATGTCGCCGACGGGGTAGGTGGTGGGTAAGATAATAATAAATAGGTTTGAATAAGGAGTAAACCACCGTACCCAAAAAAATATAAATAATGGGGCATTAACCTAGGCGTGATTTTGAAATGAAAAACGTTAAAAACATGGGAAAAATAAATAAATAAAAAGCCGGTATTAGGAATGGAAAGGGGGAGAGAAAGAAAAAACAGTACAATTGAATTTATAGGGATAAGAGGTAGAGTAATAGCTGAATAGTAGTAGTGAAAATGTTGGACCTATGGTGTTTGGTAGGGTAGTGGAGGGGAGAGAGATGATAAGGGGTATAGCATAGTGGGGCATGAATATGAATGCAGGTGAGCTGCATAATTAATATAAGGATTTAATAAAGAAAGAAAAATGGATTAAGCTGTTGGTAGGGTGTGGGTAATGGGGGTGAGGGAGCGAAGAAGGCTGTGGGTAAGGGCCGTGGCTATAAGTGAAGGTTGGAGGTGAACTGGCTTGGGTGAATGGCATTGACCTTACGTAAGAGAGGTTGGGCTGGTTTGTTTACATTTTAGTGGACTGTGATTGGCTAGGGGATGGGCGCGGACCTCGCAGCGGATTTAGGGCACTATTGATGAATGAAATTTACTCCCGGTCTAAATGTGTAGGCATGTGCTGGTGATAATATGGGTAAATTGAATTTTGACGCCTGATCTGAATATATAGGCTAGAAGTGAGTGGTAATGAGAGGGTTTGTTTGGGAGGTTCTAAATTTTTTGAAGTAAGTTGGAGTTTTCAAGGAAGGTGGCTATGGCTTGGAATATATTGGGCGGGTTGTGGGGGTTGAGAAGGAGATGAATGTTGTTGTGGTATTTGGTGGGAATGTTGTTGTGTAATTGCTTAATGTTTGTTTGTTGCAGCTGGCAGTGTGTGAATATGTGGTTTATGTCTTCATGGGTGTTGCAGTGAGTGCATAATCCGTCCGGGTGTCTGTTTTGTTTGTACAGTGTGTAGTTTAAGTTAGTGATGCCTGTAATTAATCTGGTAATTGCCCTGTCGATGATTTTGATGTTAGAATATGTGGGAATTTTTCTTATTGGGGATTTGATAATGGATGTGACCCAGGTTGATTTGTTTGTGTTGATGTTGTGTTGAAAGTTGGTATTTGATATGTTTGTTTTAATGAGTTTTTTAATTTCTGATTTGGATGTGTGGAAGTTGAGGTTTGGTGATGTGTGGGATGTGGCGAGTTTGGCTGCTGTGTCGGCGGTGACATTTCCTGTGATGTTTGAGTGACTGGGTATCCATGTGAATGTGATGTTTTTGTTTGAGCGTGTGAGTGAGTCTGTTTGAATAATTATATTGTGAATTAGGTCTGGGCGCGATTTAGAATGCATGTTGTGAAGTTGTTTGATAGAATTGAGTGAATCGGATAGTATAAGGAAGTTTGTTTGGGGAAGGGAGGGTATTAGGTGTAATGCAGTGAGAATGGCAGTGAGTTCGGCAGTGTTTATTGTGGTATAGTTGGTATAGTGAAAATTTGTTGTGATGGGAGGGGTTTGTTGAACGTGAATGCCTAGGCCTGTGGGTTTGTTAGAGCTGACTGATGCATCTGTATATATGTGTGTGTGATTGGGGTAGGTTGTATTTAAGTAGTTGTTTGTGATATTAGTTATGGTGGATTGACGGGTGTTTTTAGGTAGTTGTTTGAGGATTGTGTCAAGGGACATGTCTGTGATGGGAGGGGGTTTGTCGTGAATGTAGCTTGTAATGGGAGGTGTGTGTTGTAAGGTGTTTAGCTGTTGTGCATGTAGCAGACTGTATAGGTGGGTAAGGCATGATGCTTTAAGTGGGTTTGATTTGAATTTTTTAAGTGTAGATTTTTTAATGTTATTATATTTGTTTGTGATTAATTTAAATGTGGGGTTGTGTTGGGCCCCAGCCCAGTAAGTGAGTGTGGTTTGGTTTATTCTTTGTGTGATTGAAGAGGTGCCTGTGAGAAGAAGTAGTGTGTTAAGAGAGGTACCACTCCTCGCGCCGAGGGCTAGTTTAAGGGCTTTGAATTGGATGGAATTAAGTTTTTGAAGATTATGGGAGGAGGTAGTGGAGAACCGGTGCGGCGTAGTCAATCTCGATAATATGAGAGTTTTGTATATATTAATGAGGGTATGTTTGTCGGCACCCCAATTTGTGCCGCTGATGGCTCGCATTAAGTTGAGATCTTTTTGACATGAATTGACCAAGTTATTAATATGGGGTGTCCATGTCATGTGGTGGTCGAAAGTTACTCCTAGAAATTTCGCTTCTTTTTTGAATTCGATTTCTTGGTTGTTTAAGTGTAGTTTGGGGGTATAATTTTGCATATGCTGTCGTTTGAATAATATGCCCACGGTTTTTTTAACATTGATGTGGAACCCCCATTTTTGGGCCCAATTTTGAATGGAATTTAGCATTTTTTGAATTTTGAGTGATGCCTGTTTAACTGAGGTTGAGGAAGTCCAAAATGAAATATCGTCTGCGAATTTGGCTGTAGTGATTTCAGGCCATTTATCTGGGAAAATGTCGTTAATCATAAAGTTGAATAAAGTTGGGGATAATATGCTCCCCTGAGGGGTTCCATTTTCTAGAGGATATGGGTCCGAGATGGTGTTGTGAGATTTGATTGTTATTTGTCTATCGTTTAAAAAAGAGTGAATGAAATTTAGTATTCGACCGTGTAAGGCATGTTTTTGAAGTTTTTGACGATACATATTTTTTCCCTCTGTTTTATCCGATAGCATTTGTGTTAAATAAACAAGCATTTTTTCCAATTGATCTTATTCCGATATCGCAGCGAGATTGTACTTGTCACGTGACCGTAATGGCGGCCTGCTTCATGTCATTCACAATGTAAACTGGATAAACTCACTGTCATTGCTGATTGGTGTAATCACTGATACTCGCAAGCTACCTAAAACAATGAACAACTTATCAGGGCTGGCTTCCAGTTGTCAGTGTATTGTTAACTGCATGACGACAGCGAGCTGTAAGTAGGATGTTTGTTTGACTGGAGACTGACACGTGCCCCTCATGTCGGATTATGTGGTGATCGCTAATTTAGTTATCCGGTCTCTTTTGTTAAGGAATTTACTTCCAGGGATCGTGAAAAAACCTTTAGTTAAGCGGTATTGTTTACTTATCCGAGTTTAGTTAACGCGGTCTTTACTTAAGCGGTTTCCACTGTATGCTATGTTTGAGATTGGTAGAAGTCGGCTAGAATCAAACTTAGATATTAAACTGCACAAAAAAGCAATTTCAAAACTACAATCGCTTGTTCAAATGACTCCCCATTCTGTTTACTAAAAGAACTCGAGAAAGAAATGATGGATTTTGTTCAAATTTGGTACCAAGGTTTATTGACTGGAGATTGGAGATTTACCGACACCACTTGAATTTACTGACCTTGAGGTCATTTTAAAGGTCACAGCGAAGGTGTAACAGTTTTGCACATGCCAAGCTTGGTAGCCGCGAACTCAAGAAAGAATTAATAGATTTTGATCCAATTTTATATCAAGGTGTATTGGCGGGATTCCCCCAACACCAATTGATTGGGAAACTTGTGCTCATTTTAAGTTCACAGTGAAAAGTGTTTTGCACATGTCTAACTTTTTAGTGCGAAAATACAAGACAGAATTAATATGTTTTGCTTAAAGGTAGTACCAAGATACGTTGGGAGTATCGTCTAACGCCAGTCGAATTCAGTGACCTTCGGATTCTTTTCAAGGTCACAGCGAGTATTCTTGCGATATCTCCAAACCTAATGGATGGAATTTGTTCGCATTTTGTATCAAGGCATCAGATGACAGTTTCGGTAACGTTTACGTAATTTTCAGGGTCAGACAGAAGATATTTGCGACATGCAGATATCGACATGTGGCGGGGGTAATAGCTATGTTTGTGACAAACGCTTTGTCATTACTAATTTTCAAATTTTTGTTAGCATATGGTTTCTATAATTTCATGTTAATTCTACCAGCTATAACATTATTCGCCTGGTTATTCCTTGCCACATAGCAGTCAATCTGTCTACTCATTTGTAGTATTTGATTGATGCATTTAAAATAAAATGTAGAAATGATACTGAATTGCATCATTTGCTTCAAGGAATCGATGAGATGTGCTCGTTATCAAAGTAAAGTCAAAACTTCTTTCTGTAAGGTATACAGTGGAAGTTGACACCTTAATTGTTATGGGTAGACCAAAGAAATCATTTATTTAGTTTCACCGCTCAAAATACAACAAAGAATTCAACGGGTGGCATTAACCTCAAAGAATGATAATAACAATGCTTATAACATACGGGAGCACACATATCGGGAATAATTTGTTTTCATGCGATATGCACCGCGTAAAATATCACTTTGTCATGGTGACATGACATCTTGAACAATGTTATGACGTCACGCTGCTTCTAAGAAGCCGCCTTCTAAATACAACGATGACGGGGAGCCTGCCTTTGTTGGAAAGTAGATTATCGCGTAATTTCCGCAATTAAAGACTTCGGTAATAAATAGAAAATTATATTCGTGACCATAATATGCTAGGTTAACGACTTAAATATCGGCATATCCCTTCTCTGGTTCCGAAAATACCAAGATTTAGGCAGTTGTGTTGTAAACTGATATTTATCTTCTATAAAGTCGGCTATATTCAAACCATGAAAATTGTCGTCAAATAATGTCTGATGACAGTAACCAACGTCCCAATAGTGTCCTTATATTTTAGAAATCTATAACAATAAAGCACAACCTCACTACTTATTTTGATAAATGACAAAGGATTAATCAACAATATTAAAAGGTTTTCAGGCTTGAAGGACGAAGCTCATTAAAATCTAACATCGGCCAACATTATTGTGATATTTTGTAAATTTCCAGGTAAATCATTGATATATACAAGGAACACAAATTAACCAAGGGCAGATCCTTGAGGAACCCCTGCAGTAACATTTAGTTTTTCATAATGTTCCATTAACAGAGACACACTGTCGTCTATCAGGGCCCGGTTGTTCAAAACTCGGTTATCTTTTAACCAGCCGTTAAGTACATTTAACCGACTGTTACCTAATAACAGAGGGTTATCTTGTTGTTCAAAACTCTGTTAACTTTTAACAGGCTGTTAACGTGACGTTAAGTTAACACACCTAAGGACCGCCGCTAACTTTTTAACAGTGTGGTTAACTCGCAAGTGGCGTTCATGGCTAACACTGCTTTCATGATGCCAGTTCAGCAAAGAAAGGATAGGGTGTATCGTGGACTGGACTTCGATATTGGAGTTACATACGAAACTGTATCTATGCACATCATAGGAACTAAAATACATGTTGTACAGGTACATGATGCCTACGTTTCATCTTTTAACACTTGTGGAAAGATTTATATATGTTTTACTACACT